AGCAGCACTAAGAAACTAAAACATACTGCTACCCCCATTTTACAGATGAGGAGACTGAGGCACAGATTGCCTAAGAAATTTGCTCAAGGTCACACAAATACTAAGTGAGAGAGTCAGTGTCAAACCCAGGATGTCTGACTTCAGAGTTTTTGTAACTAAGATTTCATGCAGTTAAAGGGCGTTCTAGAGAAAGTCACATTTTTGTCTCGTTCCCCTCTCCCCAATTCCACAACACTTTCAAATTTTCACCTGCTGTTCAGGATTTGTGGTGGGATACACATGTGGTTTGGCTCATCTGAGACTGTCTCTGAAGATGAAAATTGAGAATGTAGAACTGTGGAGGTCAGTTGAGTTAACTTGTGGTGTGTTTGCCGTCAGGAGGAACAGATGCTGTTTAGGTCAGGGAGAAACGAGTGTTCACTCCAAGCCCTGCTTTAGAAAGCCTCTTTGTTTTACGACTCTGGGTGCAAGCAACCCTTTTAATTTTGTGTTTTGGATTCTAGCCATAGGAGGCCTTCTTTAATGTAGCAGATGGCTTAAGACAGACAAGCCAAGTTCCTACACTCTACATCAAGCAGCCTTCCCTAGGGACGAGTCTCATACTTATGTTGCTCTGGAAAAGAGAAGAAAAGAAACCAAACTAAAAAAACAAAAACTCATTGCTGTCTAGTCAATTCCGACTCGTAGTGATCCTATAGGACAGAATAGAACTGCTCCCACAGGGTTTCCAAAGCTGTAAATCTTTACTGAAGCAGACTGCCACATCTTTCTCTTGTGGAGCAGCTGGTAGGTTCAAAACGCTGACCTTCTGGTTGGCAGCCGAGCACTTTAACTACTGCGCCACCAGGGCTTCTAAGGAAAGAAAAGTTAAAATGGACACATTAAATTTACACCATGTGTAAAGTTACCACTGCTTTAAGCATCTGCAAACATATGGAGGTCAGGAAACCTTTTGAGAATCTGATGAAAGCTATGGACTCTTTTTGCAGAGAATTTGTGTATCAGTATCTACACAAAAACGAGCATATTAATTCCAGGGCGCTACAGATACTCTGATATCCATCCCTGGATCCTTATGGAGTCTGTGGCCTCCAGAGTCGTGTGCTTCAAGTGGAAGCAGTTGTCATTCTTTTTCTTCTCTTTTTTCAATACATTAAGATCTTCAGTTTCTAAGGTGAAAATAAACCGTCTGTACACTGTTAAGGAGGCATTTCACGTCGGAACACTCAAGTTTTACTGGGGAAAAAAATCCTTTCAGATATTGGATAAAATCAGTTTAATATATTCTCTGATTGGCATAGAGCCTTGACTCTGTGAAATACTGACGTGAAGGTTGTTTTGAAAATGGAAACATACGTTTTTCTGTCTGGATTGTGGGGTGTGTTTTTGTACATCATTTCTTTGGAACCTCACTCTTCTCGGAACTCTTCTTAATTTAGCTCTGGTTCCTGCACTGTTTCCAATATTAAGTATGGTGGGGTGGGGGGGCAGTCTGCCAACTGAAAAACATACACAGAATTCTCAGAACTTAGAAAGGCAGCTTTATTGTTTCCAAGGACAATGTCTGGGAGAGTCGCATACACTTAGGCATTTTTCCTCTAATGTCCACTTGCTATGACCATCTGAGGAAGTAAAAAAATCTTTGAGGCAGCTACCAGGACCCTTTGGGGGTCTCTGTGATGTCATTTACTGATCCTCTAAGCTGGGTGACTTCTCCTGACATCCTCACAGTCTTGCAATTCTACTGGGTATGCACTAGTTATTTAGGGAGAATCTTCAAAGCTACAGCAAAGCGTAAAATTGAGATATTTATTAAGGATATTCAAACAAAGAACAATTCGCCTTAATTATCCTATATTTAAAAATCAAACTTAAAAAATATGGAAAAAAACCAAAACCAAACCAGTTGCCGTCAATTCCAACTCATGGCGACCGACTTGTGGGTTAGAGCTGCCAACCTTTCAATTAGTAGTCAAACGGTTACCGTTTGCACCACCCAGGGACTCAATGTGGAAAGACTTAGCTAATTATTCCAATTTTCCACATACCATACATGGTCCTAACTTTCCTGAAAATTGCCTCCTTCTTGGATCTGGAAAATTCAGTGAGGGAGTAGGTCATGGGCTAAACATTTAGGCTGGTTCTCTATACTAAGTTTAAACAAATATTGGGGGAAAAACATCAACACAATTAAAGAAAAACTATTTTGGGCTTAAATCAGGGTTTCTCACCCTCAGCACAATTGACATTTTGTGCTAGATAATTCTTTGCTGTGGGGCTGTCCTGTCATTGTAGGATGTTTAGCAGCATCCCCCGCCTCTACCCTCTAGATGCCAGTAGCACTGCCTTCCAGTTATGACAGCCAAGAATGTCTTCAGACATTGCCAAATGTTCCCTGGGGGCACAATGGTTAAGAGCCACTGGTCTAAATTATCCAGATGTAGGTTTATCTACAAGTCAAGTAAAATGAAGTTCTTTTATCTGATCTTGGTCGTGTCAACACTAACCTGAGAAATCAGACTATTTTGATGCCCCACTGACTATATCTATCTGTTTAGGTCATTCTCTTCTACATTTATTCTTAGATTCAATTTAATTGCCAAAGATAGGGACTTCCTTACTCCATTCCTATGACTCTGGCAGGCCTGTTCATTTGCCGTTTGATAATCGTTCCGAAAATAAAGATATTTAGTGATCCTCCTGATTTTCTATACCCTTTGCGGTCTGGGTAATTTCTCAGTCCTTTGGAAGGCATCTGCTCTGCTGCTAAATCTCTGTTTCCCCTAGAATGTTATCATCTCTTCCGCCTTAGGGCCTATGCTGAGCCCAGTGGCAACTAGGAGAGGCTGGCATCTGTGGCTGATTTGATCATTATGTGCACACAGAGTTCAGGAAGCAAAACTGTTGGTTTTAAGATTATAAATGTGATTATTAAAAGGAATTCTATAATTACAAATTATTCCTTACACATTTGCAGTGACTGTAAGACAGTCAACAGTTTATTTGGGGAAGGATTTTGCTGGCTGTTTGGAGAGAGGAGTGGGTCTAGTGTACAAAATATTTAAACCAAATTGTTATATTCTATAATGTTCAACAAAACATTCTGCAAACATCAGTTCTAAAAAAAGGCATCCTCCAAAGCAGAGTTATAGGCACTTCTGGGAATTATAAACCTATGCAGGCTCCAAAAATATGTGCTTTCCAAAGGCTGGAAACATCTGAATTAACAACAAATAATCAGTGAGTGTGACAAAGAGTTAAAGTACATGGACTTTAGTTTCATAAAGTTTATGATGTAGTAAAGAAGTTTAAGATGTAGACCTGAGATTGCAAACTGATGGCCAGCAGGCTAAATAGGGACCATGGTTTGTTTTGTTTGGCTTGCACAGGGTTGGCCTCCAGAAAAAAAACAAAGACAGAAAAGAAAGAGAGAGTGAGAAAGAAGGAAAGAAAGAGTTGCTAAACAGATAAAACAAATTTTTGCATAAAAATCCATATTTCCAGCTTTTCTTGAAAAGTCAGAAGATGGGCCCTTATTCCCACATCTCCCATTGTGACAGCTGGCTGGAGTGGAGCAGCAGCTTCTCCCTTTGATTGGACCAGGTGTACTCTGGTCCTCCACCCCGGCTCACTTCACTCCCTCATCAGGCATTTGAGATGGCCACCTGTAGTGCAGAGACTTTTGCACCTTTTACCGAGTCCTCTTCCCCGTGGAAACAAACCGCTGGAGTCTGGAGCAAAATAGCATCTGCCACACATGTATGTCAGGTGAGAGTTGATTCTGGCTCAGGCTACGGAGGCTGCAAATAGAGTGGTGAGAAATGATCAGATCTGGGATATACTTTGAAGGTAGAGCTAATAGAATTTCGCGATGGATAGGACTGGGATGGGAAAGAAAATATTCAAAAATGACTCCGAACTTTTTTTAAACTTAATTGATTTAAAAAGAAAACCTATAGTGGAATGTCAGAAGAACTACTATTGACTTTTAAAATAAAAACAATTATTTAAAAGTTTTTGCTCCCTGTTGTTGTGTGCCACAGAGTCGGTTTCGACTCATAGCGACCCTATAGGACCAAGTAGAACTGCCCGGTAGGGTTTCCAAGGCTGTAATCTTTAGGGAAGCAGACTACCACATCTTTCTCTGTGAGTTGGGATCGACTCAGAGGTATCACCAACATCTTCTGGGAAATGCAGACTTGGCTGGGACAGTTTTGGGAATTTGGAGGGAAAAGGCACTGAGAAGGACCTCCAGTTTCTGGAAGAAAGTCAGGCTCTAGCCCCAGGAGATGGGGTGGAGGGATTTAAGCCTATGGATGCCCAGATATTAGCCTATGAATGGCCTCTCTGCACCTCAGGCCCCACCTGTCCAGGGGCTGAGTCCCTACCGGGACTCCTTTCCGCCAAGATAAGGAGGATGTGTGTTAAACTACTGGAATTGAGCTCCCAGTGCAGGGACAGCCCTACTGCGGGAACTCCAGGGAACTCCCTCCATCTCCAAATATCCGCAAAGGGCGTGGGGATAGTATCGACTCCAAGATTTCCATGTGGGAGTGGTAGGAAGATATTCCGGAGCTCGTTTTGAAGCTGCTTTTACACAGAGAGAGGACTCACTTCACTCAGATTTGTTACAAATCAATAAAAATAGTAAAGTCGTATTCGAAGATGCCTTTATTTACTTTACATATTACTGAGAACATCTTTAACTGTCCGTATCAACGACAATTATTTCACATTATTACAGTTTGTGTTAATTTGGCAAGTGGAGGCTACTAGTGGTTATTGTGGTGGTAGGAGATAGCCGACTTCCACTCGTAGGCCAGGCAACTGACGCGAGAAGCCTGTGGCTGATCGGAAGCCCGGGTGCAGGCACTAAGCCAAAGACCGAGGCTTCCTTCGGCCGCCTAGGAAGGCGGACCTTCCCTCCGTCCGGCAGCGGTCACTCGATCCCTTGCGCGCATGCGCCGACCCTAGCGGGCGTCCTCCCAGTCTCCCTCCCTCTCTCATCCGGGTGCTAGACAAGCGGGCGCCGTGCGCGTGTCCCGCGGCCCAGCTGCTAATAAAGTTGCACTGAGGGGAAGCGCAGCCAGGGCGCCGGGAGAGTGCGCCCAGCCGACCGTGAGTTACTGAGGGGCCCTAAGGTGGGCGTGTGGGACCAGGGACTGCAGGCTTTGCCCGGACGCGGCTCGCCTTCAGGCCCCAGCAGCCGGACTCGGGCCAAGGCGGGGGCGTTCGGCCGCGGGCGGAGCGGAAACGACCCGGGCCTGAGGGGCGGGGGTGTAGGCCGAATCTCAGCCTGCCGGGGTCCCGGCGGGTGGGAATGGCGCGGCCCAACCATTTGCAGGGGCCTCGCTTGCGGCCAAGGATGCCCTGAGGTGGGGCCGAGATTGGCCCTAGTCCCAGTCCAGCCGTTACCGCCGGACTGTGTTGGAAAGCGTTCGGGACGCCCTCCAGGAATTCCCCCGGCCCCGCTTCTGTCCAGAAGATTGGTTTGTTCCCGGTCCTAATCAAAGCACTACCCTCAGTACACACCCCTGATAGGATTGCCGTGCTCGGCCAAGCGGCTTGTTCTACAACACTGCAAAGCTGTCCAATGGCTTGATGAATCCGTGCTGCCGCCGCTTTGTGTTTCAAAGATAAGGATCCACGCTTATCGGTGGGAATTACACTCTGGGCAGTTGTGACCTGCTACTGCGCTCAGCTGGTAGTTAGACCTGGTTTCTGCCACTTGCCATTTCAGTTTTCACCATTGCAAAGATTTTTTCTACTTCGTGTAAACTTCTGCATTACTGCAAGAAGGGTAAAGCAGTGTGTTTTTTCCTTCACCATTTTCAGCCCCTCCCCGGGTCCTTCACTTCAATATCCAGATTCATATCCACGGCTCTTCCCTCCCCCCACTTTTTCCCCCTCTTCCCTTTCAGCTGCTGTTATTACGTGGAGTTTGGAGCCTAAGCTTTGAAAACTCCCATGTGGCGCCTGTCTTAAGTCGGAGCATGCTCAGTAGCCAAAACAGATTTGGGTTGCAAAAAGCGCTGGGGCGAGGATAGTCGGGGTATTTGGATGTTTGCCTGCTTCCTAACAAAATGTTCCAATTCTGGTTTTGATAGCACTGGAGAATGGTGCTGTAGGCCAGCCTGGAGGTGAGGAATGCCTGAACACCCTGGGCCAGATCTCTATCTTGATTGTAGAGACATTGTTTCCTGACCAGCTGGAGGTCTAGAGAGGGGGGGAAAAAAAGCATTCTTGGCTGCTTGTGCGTTTAAATGGGTGTGGTGCTAAGTATATCTTGTTTACCTTATCTTTCTTTGGAAAAAGTTTTGAAGTCTGGTTGGATTTGTCACATCATGCCGGTTGCCTAGCACTACTAAAAGTGTTCTTATCGAGCAACAAAGACTGGATAGGTGGAGGTGGTGGTTTAGCCTCACCAAAGTTTAGAGGAGAGGGTACTTGTTTTTTCTTTTTTTCTTTTTTAAATTAAACTAGCATACCTGGATTTCTTTGAGCTAGAGTACCTGAATTGCCAAGAGTGAGTTTAATTTTTAATTTGAGTGAATTTAATTTTTAATTTTAATTTGAAAGCAGGTTGAAAACCTTAGTCCCAAATAGTTTAACGTTTCTGCTTAGATAACAATGTGTCAGTGTCTGTTGTGGGGAAAACAATACCTAGACTCAACATGACAGTTTCACATTTATGGATCTGAACAGCATTGTGAAATTAGTGTGTTCTAAATTCAGCAAGTAAGGAGTTATTTGAAGAGCTGTAACAAATTATTTTTATATACTTTCTTTTATCCCTCTTAGGTAATTTTTTTCTTCTCAGGTGAACCCTTGAGATCATAAAAATGCAAAACAAGTCAGCAGAGACAATTTAACAAAATTTAACCTTCATGAATATTGTAGATCCTTTGTTTAGCTTTTTAAAAAATTAATTTTTGTTTGATTGTTTACATGATTTGTCACATCCTCCTTTCCTTTTCTCTACATTGCTGCTCCCTCAGTGTGCTTTTGCTTTTCACACAGCTGCGGCTCTTATCACATGAGCTTTACCTGTATATCTTTATTACAAATATCTATTTGTTTTATGCTTCCATTCTTTTGAGATACAGCTGAAATAGGCAGTAAAAGTTAGATGATCCTTCTCAACTTTCTTCTTAGGTTCTAAATGCATCCATATGATATGGTCTTGTTAAAAGGAAGAAGAGAGCAGCAAACTGGAAAAAAAAAAAGAATAAAAAATTTTTGTAGATTCTGTGCAGATCTAGTGGTATTATCTGCTTGTCTGGTTCACTGTGGTAGGCGCCATAGAAATGGGTAGATATGTGTTGTGTTTTTTCCCCCTCTGGCAAAGTCAGCTATTAATTTCAGTGGGAGACAGTGGCAGAATGTTGTTACTAATGAGGTTTGAATCAGATTGTTGTTTACTGCTGGTTATGTAACATGTTGCTGGGCGTATTATTAAAAGTTGCATTCTGTAGCAAGGTAGAGGCAAGTAAATTCTGCTTAACCTCTTCACTGGGTTTTAATTCTTGGCTGAACTTGAAGGCACATTAGACTACAACCATAATTATACCTGGGCAGCCTGTCTGTTTCCTGTTTTCATCATGAACCCAAACATTATGATTTGCAGTGATGATCTTTTTTGTCCTTTGCTTTAAACAGAGGCAGTGTATTTTCTCTCTCTACTGAAAACAGATTTGTAACTTGGTCATATCAAAGATACTAGCTTCTTAAGTATTTTGAAGACTAGACAGTAAAATACCAAAGTTTTTCATTTTGTAGTAACTTAAATTGAAATGTGATTAAAAAATATGTTTCACACATATTCTTTAATTAAGGAGCCTTGGTGGTGCAGTGGTTAAGAGCTCATGTTTGAACCCACCAGATGTGACAGTCTGCTTCCTAAAGAGTATGTATGGCCTTGGAAACCCTATAGGGCAGTTCTACTATGTCCTATAGGGTCGTTATGAGTTGGAATTGACTGGATGGCAGTGGACACACACACACCTCTGTCTGTTTCCTGTTTTCATCATGAACCCAAACATTATGATTTGCAGTGATGATCTTTTTTGTCCTTTGTGTTAAACAGAGGCAGTGTGTTTTCTCTCTCTACTGAGAACAGATTTGTAACTTGGTCAAATCAAAGATACTAGCTTCTTGGTGTTTTGAAGACTAGACGGTACAGTACTGAACAGTTTTTCCTTTTGTAATAACTTAAATTGAAATGCCGTTAGAAAATATATTTCACATATATTCTTTGACTATGTTTTATGTAAATTTTAATGCTGCCGGTAGTTTGTAGGGTCTTTGAATTAAGAAAACCCTTTTTTGTTTATGAATTTTCAGTGTTTATTATTACCAGAAGTACGTGTTGGTTTAGGCAATGAGCCACACATTTGGGGTAATTTTCAGAGCTGACTTGAGTACGTTTTAGGCTATAGCTGCCTTTATTCCCCTGGTTTATCAGTCTTCCTTGATCTCTTTACTTCTTGAGGATCTGTGTCCCTTGTCTTTTTGTGCTTCATACTTAGCACAAAGAAGGTGGTGAAATATTTTTTTCAAGTGTTCCTTATTTCCCATGGGTTTCCAGTCTACTCATAAAGTCAAAGACATGTGGAAGAATCCCATTTATAAAGGACATTAGCAGCTTGAGGAATGATTCTTGTCTCCACTACTCTGAATATTCCGTAGAAAGGGTATCTGGACGGGTAGGACCCAGAAAGGCTGAGGTGCACAGATAGGGTGCTTTTCCACACAAGAAGATGACGAATGACCCCAGGAACTGGTCCATGTCTTCACACCTTTTTTTTCCACTTCTGAAATTAATAGAATAACAGTAATTGGAATTTTCAATGCTGTATTATCCAGTTCATTGCTACTGTAGCACATCCTTTACCTCTAACTAGAACTCTGAAACCGAAAGGTGTATTTACTAAATGGAAGGTGAAGATTTAAAATTCTTTTGGAAGAATTGTTAAAAGCTAAAGATTATTGCTAGGACCAGCTGATTTCCCAATCTCGTAGGTCACCTTCATATTCTAACAGTTTTTATTGTTTCACAACTTTGAAAAGATGAAGTAATTACAAAGTTATTAGGTTTTTCCTAAATAATCAGCCAGTCTGGGCGCTTTATTTAGTTTTAATATTTTTTTGCCTTGGGCAACTAGGTGGGGAAGTTTTTGGCCATATTCTAGGAGCGAGGTGATTTCAGTGACTTTTCTTCAGCTTTTATTGTATCCTAACTTGGTTGAGATAATATTTTGGAAGAAAGAATTCTTTATTAGGCAGTTCTTTATTAGGCAGTTGTGCAATACTGTAATTGTAATTAATTTTTGGAAGCTAGGTGTTAAAAGTACATTTTGTAAACAAATTTTGCTCTTGAATCCTTTAGTACAGCAGTCTCAGCCTGCTTTTATATATATATATATATATATATATAATTTACAAACTGATACTCTGTAGAAATTTGAAAATGATCTGCTCTGTTGCGGTGGTGAGATTTTAACTGGATTTTTTCTTACTGTTTTTATATGTTGTTTTGTTATTACTGAAAATAATAGTAAGGAAAAAACCTAGTGGCCCCTTCCTACCTTTTTTTTTGAGCATAGCAACTAGAGACCTGGGAGGAGGCTTGCACTTTTCAAATTTAACTATGATCTCAGAATGTGGCTGGTGGTTTCAAGGCAAGTTTTGTTTTCATGATGTGTTAGGATCTGTCTAGTATCCTATCTGGTAGGCTGTATAACTTGAGAGATCTAGTTATTCTGGTTTGTGTGTTCCCAGGAAGAGGGGGTACTGCAGAAATATTTCAAAGCCAGTTTTTGTTTTCTTCTCCCTTATTTACATCTTCTGACCATTTCCCACTCTTTGGAGTTGAAACTGCAAATTACATGAATGATGACTAAAGCAGAAAAGTTACCCTGAGCCATATTTACTCCCTTTTCTTCTAAGTAGGGGACTTGGACTCTGGGGTGCACATGAGGTATCTGGAGAAAATCTTCATAAAACACTGGCATGTATGTTGTGTACCCAGGCTAGCTCTTTGTGTTCCAGAGGTACCTTGTACAGTGATGATTTGGTATCTGCATTGGACGATTTTATAATTTAAAGGAAAGCACTGT